AGTAATCTCTGCATCTCTGAAAACCAGTGGTTCGTTTTACGACGATGTCTTTATGAAGCGACTGTAATACCAAGGAGTCGCNTTTTTAGTTACAGTATCTCTTCTTTGAATATTAAGGTGTTTTAAGCCCATTTTTCGGTACATTGAAAGTTTACGAAATTTTCACCACTTCAGCGTTGGCTTTTATAGGACAGCTTCAGTGGCAACTAAGAAAAAGGCTGTTTCAGATGTAAAGTGTACAGAGAATCAGTTTACATGTTCTGAATTTGATGGTCAATTCAAACTTTGCATTCCAAAATCCTGGCAGTGCGACGGGCAGGTTTGTTTGCTTAAAGATATTCTCTTTTTGAAAAGTTAGCTTTTGCTTTGTAGAAGGACTGCGCGTCTGGTGCTGATGAGGAAAACTGTGAGAAACGGAAATGTGAGGATAACGATTTCCAGTAAGTTTGAACCGTGCACTGTACAAAAAATATTGATCAGTCTGCTCAAATAATGATTAAAACATCGATGTAAACCAAGCAACAAATAGTGAGCTGCATTTTCGTTAGTCATGTTTTGGAGGTGAAAGTAGCATTAAAAGTGATAAGTTGTACATTGGTATATTGTCTGAAAGCTTCTCACAAGTAAACGTGGATATTGTTGAGAGGGTAGGTCTTGTCTTTCTTCTGCGTTCCTTAATTTTGAGTGTAAAAAGAAAACCTTTTTGTGATAGTCCTCTCAGGTCCTCCCTGAAATCCAAATTGCATACCGTAAGTTTTTGCCATCTGTGCTATGACTGATCACTGTTGAAAAGCGCTGCACCAATCATGATTCAGACTTTGCATCACTTTTTTTTTTGAAAAATAAAAAAAGCTAACAATCTGAAGTGATAAAAAAAAGCTAACCATCTGAAGTGTTTTATCTTACTGTGATCTTATCTCTTACTATTCGAATACCCCTCAATCCACGAAATCCAATATTTTGTAAACTTTTTTATACAACAAAATCTTTCCCGATTCCTTGTACTGGAGGTTAAGGAAATATGTAAAAGTGGATTAATAATTAGAATAGAGTAACTGGGTAATCAAGAGACACTGTCGCTTTTTTCATCCTTCTCGATGATTTCACAATCGATGGCATAGCATTATTCATTTCCCATATTTTCGAATAAACTATACTGGCATTCTCGCTATTGCAGGTGTGCTAACGGCATATGCATTTTCAAAAATTGGAAGTGTGATGGTGAGGACGACTGTGGAGACCGTTCCGATGAAACTAATTGCACAGAGTCACTGCAGCAGATATGCGATTCGAAGCACATGTTCAAAGTAAGCCGTTGTCATTGATAGGCTTTACTATCTGAGAGGGAATAACGGCACACAATGATTATATTTTTAATTGCGCGGATTCCCGACCTCTTTTCATTGTGTCAGTTGAATGACGGTCGAACAGGATTTGATGTAGCAGTTCATGTGAATAATCGAACAGCCTGCGGCGATCACGTGATGTTGCCTCTACGACTCCATCACATCAAGAGTTTAAAGAGGAAAGACCTCGATGAAAAGTACATGCCTCAGGGAACTAGTACATTCCACAAAGCCAGAATCTGTCTGAATACGGTATTCCTTCGTCACCGTTGAGTGTAAATCATTCTCTGCCTGAGTTGACACACCGTAGAATTCGTGTTTCTATGGATTCCCCATAAGGTAAAGTTATAGATGGCAACGTCGCATGACGCAGAAGGCCATTAAGTTTTGACTGGAATGGTTTAGCAATTTTCTGTCCAGCCGTCAGTCTCTAGCTTGACTCGTGGTAACAAGAGAAGCCACCTCAATCTTGTTTGCGTTTGTGGCCTAGAAGTAATTGTCCGGGGGTGAATCTTGCTCAGGATGTTCAGAGTACTCTCTGGTTTCTCACTCTCAAAACGTTGCGGCGGTCTCTATCTAATGGCGTTCAAATAATTCAGTTTTAGTGTCATACTGAAGGATGCATATCGAAGGACTGGGTGTGCGACGGTGAGGCGGACTGCTTCGACCATTCCGATGAACGTAACTGCACAGATACACCACATGAGTGCGCTCATCCAGAAACAGTGAGCCTCCTTACCGTCAAGGTAATTTCAGAGCAGTTTCTAAAATTATTCTAGGAATTTGCTTGCGCCTCCGGACGATATTGCATAAATCGAATGTGGTATTGTGATGGCGAAGAAGACTGTCCGGATGGAAGTGATGAACGGAATTGTGCCTCAGCAAGAGAATGTGTCAAGGGCGAGCGAAAGTGTCCTAGCAGTAATCTCTGCATCTCTGAAAACCAGTGGTTCGTTTTACGACGATGTCTTTATGAAGCGACTGTAATACCAAGGAGTCGCAATCACAATTTCATATTGAAGGTGCAATGGTATTGAGGATTGCCCAGACGGTTCGGACGAAATGCATTGCCCGAAAAACGGAACTGGTAGGCGCTTATTCTAATCAAATAGTGAAGTAGTAGGGGATACGAAACTCGCTTGTAATTTTACTGTCTTTTCACTACTACATCATAGCTGATTGCAGCTATGATGTAGTAGTGAAAAGACAGTAAATTACAAGCAAGTTTCTGTACTATTCTTCTTATTTCCTCTTATTCCTTTCCTCTTTTCTAATTTTTTTTGGTCAATATACCGCTAGGGTTCGACTTTTATTTGTTACATTGGGGTAGTGAGGATTGCACGCAAAATAACATATGGAATTGAAATTAGAGGAACACAGCACCCAAGATGTAAGTGTACTCCTTTACAGTCTTATGAAATGCTTTAAATGTGAAGGAGAATTTGAGGAGGTGATTTATTGAAGTCAGGGCTGCGGAATAACAGCAGTGAAAAGATGACATTCATAGCTTTGTTTTCAGTTGAAACATGCGATCCCATCACAAAGTACACATGTCCGACTAACCCTCCGGTTTGTGTCAAATATAGCGATCTCTGTGTGAAACGTGGTCATAACGACTGTGGTGATGACATCACTTGTGCGAAGAATATAAGTAAGGAAGTTAACGTTCGAAATAAGCAGATTTTTTTTTCGCTGTGAGCTACACTATTCTTTTTTGTTGTAATATTTTTCTGTACCTCTTACTTTATCATTTCCGTTGTATTTGTGCTTCAGCAATTTGCACTGAAAAGAGCGACTATTGCGATTGTCACAACTCTTTTGTCAAGAATGTGCAAATTTGTCATTGTCGTGCCGGATTCCGTGCAGTCAATGGAAAATGTGAAGGTGACGTTGCCATTTTCATAGACATTGGTTTTTAATCTGATACATTTCTTCAAGTCTTATTTCAAGATATTAATGAATGTGAACAGCCGGGAGCTTGTGATCAGATATGTGTGAACACTCCTGGCAGTTATGCTTGTCGATGTCACCACGGCTACAAACTTAGCCGAAGTCCTAATTCTACCGTTCCTAATAGATGTAGGGCGTTAGGTGGTGACCCTCTTCTCTTACTCAGCAACAGGTATAATTCTGAGATTTCGCATTTCTCAATTGCTTTGTCGAAAAAAAAANAAAAAAAAATTGCGATATGTCCGTAAGTGAAGTTCATGATTCAATTTTCAGAGCCACGATTAGACAATTCGATCTCGTCACAAACGTACATGTCCCACTTATTCAGAGCCCAGGATCAGCAGTTGCTATGGATTTCCATCTTGAGAATGGGGTGAGTTAACTGCTATTGAAAGAGTACTTCTCTCTGGCAGAACACATGGTTTGGTTGTAAGTATTGAGTATAAATAGCGAACGATCCCTTTAAGACTCTTGTTTGGTCGGACATTGCTCTGCAGAAGATTCTCATGTGCAAAATTGGCAATGATTCGGTGCATCATCACCTAGCTGTAAGGGACAAGGTGAGATATTTGTTGCTGATGTTAACGTGTTTCGGTTTTTTGATAACCGATTACCCAGTAGTTTTCAGTGCGCGGAAGGGGAGCAAAGCGTTCTTCTTGATTCCAATGTTCATACTCCTGATGGATTAGCGGTTGATTGGATTCATAATCTTCTGTTCTGGACCGATGGTGGTCTAGACCAGGTGCTCTTCGTGCAACAGCTTTCTCCCCACATTACCGTGGATTCTTAAACTACATGCTTAGGTCAACGTCATGGATTTGGAAACAGGTCAGAAGCGCACTCTTTTCTATGATGGGTTGGAGGAACCTCGTGCCATAGCAGTCGACCCTGAAATGGGCCTTATATTTTGGACTGATTGGGGAAAGGAAGCCCGTATTGAACGCGCAGGAATGGATGGACAGCACAGAACGGTAACATAATAAGCTATATGCTTCAATTTTATCGTTATTTGCTAGTGGTAGCCCAATTATTGTGAGTTATTTCAGGTTATCGTGAAGGGCGAGCGTGTTAAGTGGCCTAACGGTCTAGCTCTCGATTACATTGACAAGCGTGTTTACTGGGCGGATGCAAAAGTTAAATCTATCTTCTCATGCGACTATTGGGGACGTGATGTTAAGGTTTGTACGATTTTTTTGAACCTAACTCTGTAACCCCTCTTCTGACTTACAGAAAGTTTTTTAGTCTCTTAGATTCTGGATCGAGTATAAGTTCCCTAGAGAATTCCAGCTCATAGGGACATTATTTTATTTATAGATCATTCTTCATTCACACCAGTACCTACGCCATCCATTTTCCATTGCTGTTTTCGAAGACCGTATTTATTACACCGATTGGGAACACGACGGTGTCATTACGATCAATAAGGTTGATTTTTGTGACGCTATTATTCTGCGACCATAATCCGCGATTTTAATCCGAGTAATCTGTCTATTTTCAGTTTACCGGCGGTGAAATGCGTACTGTGATGCAGAAGGTATCGACCCCTATGACAGTCAGGATTTATCATAGACTGGCCCAGCCAAAGCTGCCCAACAAGGTATATTACATGGTTTAATTTCCTTAATTTTAGAAACTGCAATTTATTCTCCTTTACTTTTGCAGTGTTACAATTCGGGATGCGAGCAAATGTGTTTGCCTCGAGCAGTCTACCGCAAGACAGAACCCGCTCTTGAAACAGAATGGCATGACCGTCCTTACGCTTGCATGTGTCAAGGGGACACTCCGACAGACCTTATCGAATGCGCTGGTAAGAGGCTTTGGCTTCCGTATCTTTCTAATGCCTTGTCTTCATTGTTTGTTCATGGACGTATCATATAGGAATTTCAAAGGAGGGGACTTTGACGGGTCTAGGTAGACTCATATGTCGCAAAGAGGCTGAGATGGTAACTATTTTGAATGGTTTCAAAACGAAAAATCAAATCACTCACTATCGTGAATAGAGTGGCTGGGTTTTGCTACTCATTCAAAGTAGGAGACGCCTCAACAGGTAATATCGTTCAATAGCCTCGCTTTACTTCGGGAAGACATTGATAGTTAATACCAAGGAACAAGAACATTGGTAACTTAGAAGTATGATTAAGTTTATCTTTTTTCAGTTGATATTGCAACTGGTGGAGCAGGACGAGGATTTTCTCTAAGCACCATGTTGTTCTTCTTGATGTTGGCGATATTTGGAGTAATGGTATGTGTTATAATTACACAGTTGCTTTCAAAATATGTGAAATTGACTTTGTCAAACGTAAGTTGCGGACGTAAGTTACTCAGGAGGATTTCATGACCCATTATTCTAGCAAATTTGAATTCCATAGATCATCATTCCAGAATTTTCAAGTTTCAGTGCTACACCTAATTGTTGGGTATTTGAGTGATCTCATTCCAGGGCGTTGTATATTATCGTAAGCGCAATTCCTCTGGCGCCTTTACTGCTCTCAATTTCGATAATCCGATCTACCGTCGAACCACAGAGCCTGATATGGACGATCCATTCCGAGATCCTTTCAGGTGTTCCTTGTTTTTTTTTTCTTAAGTGATATTTCAATGTTTCTATCAATGATCTTATAATTGGTTATAGTGAGAACAATGGTGTCCAAATAGGGCCAGGTAACGCTCGATTGGTAATGGCCGACCCTGAAGAGAACGTTCATAATTCCTCGGTTAGAAAATTCATTTCCTATGTTGCTTAGGTTGATTTTAATTCCATACTGACGAAACACTAGTTCAGATTGAGCCAATGGACCGTCCGTTAACCACATAGCCCTTCTCCTTGTTGATATCGCTTAAGTTTTCTCTTTTCTTCCGAATAATCTGCTTTTTATCAGTTTGTTTCTTTCACTGGTGTTTTAAGTGTCTACCATTTCACTCATCATTCTATGCGTTCTGTACGTTTGTTTCCATTTCCTCCAAGTACGGTTATGTGATGAACGCGCTTGGCGTGTGCGTTTGTGCTGCTGAAAAATTCGCTAGTGAGCTTTGGCGGACGGGGAATACATTATATGTATGAATACACTTGTAAACTGTATATTGCAATATCTCTCTCGTTCTGCTGTGATAGTCTTCCCGTGGTTTGGTCGCGCCCACTCTGCGGTGGTCAGCTTCGTCAACACGCTGTGCGTTGCGGGTGTCTACTATATCCAATACTTTACCCTGATTTTCGTTCATCAAAACCCTTGCGCGATTGTTACATTGCGTGGTTCTCCTTCGGAGATATCTTCTGAATTCAGGCAGATTACGTTCATGTGATTTAGTCTGTCTTTATATGCTTCACTGCTTCTCGTAGTGATATCTTAGCGAATCATCCAGTGTTGTCAAGTTGAGAATCGCCTGTTTACTGATATATGTTGATAATTAAATAGCTATGACTTTAGCGGCGTAGTTTTAAATTGCTCACCGAAAGTGCATGTTTCATGTAGTTCCATTGTACAGTTAATTCTGTAATAAAATCAAATTTTTGATCGTTCACAGAAATGGGTGCATTCGAGCCTTGATCTTTGAAGTGATACTTCTTTTTTCCTGACTTTTCCGGGCCGATCAGAACGTAGTCCGCGATTACCCTCCCAAGCAGAGGAGGGCCACGAGGAGGGAGCTGTGATGGCAAAAAACGGTTGTGCTGCGTGGTCGTGACAAGAATCTACCCAGAACTGGAGCATTTCGGATTTGTCTTTGGTAACTACTCATTTCTCTTGCATTACCTCTAAATGGGTGCTTAAAAGTGGAAATAAAGCTTATAATCATGCCCTCGAGGTATAAGCTGAGGGTGTTGGGGTACGGGTCAAGTTAACGACAGAGCGGGAGTTATCATATCACTTGATTCTATCCATTAGCTTTTTTCGTATCCTTTTCATAAGCAACTGAATAAGTGAGAGCACAACGTGACTGCCCCTTAATAGTGGTTCCTCTAATACTTGGTCATCGACTATTTCGTGCGAAGAGCTACCTAACACTCTCTCCTTCAGAATCATGTTGCACAGGCTACTGATACATTCCCCAGAATACAATTTTGCAGGAAAATGCCAGGTGATTTTCTGGAGTGAAGCTATTACTATTCAAAAGTTTTAGGGGACTGTATACTTCCTCATCCAACGCTGATGTGACCTTGTAACCGCCGCCCTAGCAGAGAGATGAGATGAATGAAAACGGAATCAAATTGGTCTGTCTTGCTAAAATTTTTGAAGATCAAATTCTTCTGCTTACGTAATCGTACAAATGATGTCAATCAATTTCTAAAGCAGACAACACATGAAAAACGCTAATTTTTCTATTTTTAGATATGATGCTGTGAGAGATTAGAGCCTTAAAAGGAATTCAACATTCCAATTCCAATCTTCCCAACCGGAATATCTTGTTCGTGGAAAGTTCTCAGCTTTTCGTCTTTTTTTTTCTGGCGTGTTACAACCGTTAACCTTCCTTAGAGAGGTTCTTAAAGTGGAGATAGCAAATACTGCGCTGCGTTTTAAAACAGATTATCAGGTAAGATATAGTCCTAACCGTTGTTTGAATGGAAGGTCTATCTCGCATTATTTCATATAAATGAATAACAAGACGGAAACGTTGCTCATGGTGATTAGGACATCGATGGCCAAAAAGACGAGAAAATTCTTGACATCCTGAAATATAAGGTTTTTCCTAAGGTTTCGACGACGAAAGTGGTGATTGTTGGTGATTTCAGCCGCTTCGTAGCAACGTGTGTTTGCTGTTATCGTGAATCAGCTGATTGCGTTTACTGCTTCAATCGAATGGTGCGACACGTGGCGCAACCTTTACGCGCCGGCGTTCGGGAATCTTTTCAGGCATATTGACGTTGGGAACGGCTTCAGAGAGTTCGTTGCTATCTTGGCCGTTTTTCCACTCGGCGACGATTTATGTGGCCTTTTTAAAAGCCATGCTCTCCATCGGAACCTTTTTTTATTATCACGAGTCGTTCGCTTAAGGTCGTTACAGCATCCTACACGCTGACACTCAGGGTGGCTAGGATTAGCGTGATGGTTCCTGAGAAATTTCGAAGTTTTTGATCCGTTTTCTTTCGCCTGTTTGCCAACTGAAAGATAGGGATTCATCAGTGAAGGAGTCTTACAACTGGTTCTGAAAGTGAATCGCTCAGGTCGATTTATACGACTTTCCATTAGTTGACAATCATTTCCAGTCGTCTCCGGCACGTAAGGAAGATCGTGATGGTAGTTTATGCTACAGGAATGCTTGCTCATCCACCACCACCACATCGAATTAGTTATTTGACTAGTGAGAAAACATCCATGAAATCACGTTCTATTGACACAGCACCTGCTCCTCCTTTGCTGGCCAGTTACTGTGTCATAACGAGGTAGCATCGATCTATTTGGCCCTTCCAACTATTGTGCTTGGAAGAGGGTGCTACAATTACTTCGATATCAAGCTGGCTGTTTGCTAACAGAAGGAAACCAGCCATGAAGCCAAAAAAAGATAATCGAATAAGATCTATTTTACTCCGCTGAATTACGACCAGAAATGTGTAATAAGCAAAAAATGATAAACCCAAACGAAGTCGTGTAGTAGCTAGCTACTAGAGTTAGGCAAAAAACCTCTAGTTCAAAATAAAATAGAGCATCAAATTCACACGCCATCCAAATGGCAGCACAACACTAAACCGGTGAATCATGAAATAAGTCAGAAAATACATTATAATACCTACCGCATATTATTTATAGATCACAATACCCTCAAATCTCCTTCACCGAGTGTTCTCTCTCACTGAAGGATCTCTAGCCGCTTACCAAAAGCCACCGGTGCTCGTCCAAAGGCGTACGTTAGTTCAGGGCAAGGGACCCC